TGGTTTATCGGTCAGGACGGAAGCATGCTGACGCCGACGCCCTTTCCCGTTCCCCCCTGTCCCAGAATGCCACAGCTGACTCCGCTTGCGATTCCACATTGTCATCGCTTGACTTTGACACCATTGCTATCGAACAACGCAATGACCCGTGGACTGCGTCTCTCCTCAATCATCTCTCCGACACTTCTGAACTCCCAAAGACGCGAACGCTTCGGCGCCAAGTTCCACACTTCTCGATACGTGACACGCTTCTCTATCGACGTAACTACGCACCAGAGGGACGCAAGTGGCTGCTCGTCGTTCCACGAACCCTGAGGTTGCTGATTTGTTCCTTTTTTCACGCTGACCCACAATGTGGCCACGCAGGAGTCTTCAAGACCTACGAAAGGCTTCGACATCGCTACTACTGGCGTGGCATGTATACCTTCGTCCGCAACTTCGTCCGCTCTTGTGCCGAATGTCAGCGCCGAAAATCTCCACCACACGCCTCCGCCGGTGAACTGCAGCCTTTACCATGCCCTTCCCGACCATTCGAACGGGTTGGAATAGATATTTATGGGCCACTTTCATTGACTCCGACTGGCAACAGGTGGATAATAGTTGCTATCGACCACCTAACGCGCTATGCTGAGACCGCTGCTCTTAAAACGGCTACAGCACAAGAGGTTGCCACTTTCCTACTACGTCATTTTGTGTTGCGTCATGGAGGCCCTCAAGAACTCCTCAGTGACCGTGGCCGCGCCTTCTTGTCCGAGGTCATTGAAAAATTGCTCGCTGAGTGTGCTATTGTACATCGCACATGTACCGCTTACCACCCACAAACCAATGGGGCTACCGAGCGCTTTAATCGTACTCTCGGTGACATGCTATCTATGTATGTGACGCCTGACCACTCTAACTGGGACTTAGTTCTCCCATTCGTTACATACGCCTACAATACGGCAACGCAAGCGACAACAGGCTTCTCCCCTTTTTACCTCCTCTACGGCCGTCACCCCTCCCACACCATTGACACCATTTTGCCCTATCGACCAGACGCGTCCGAGTGCCTACCGATCTTGGACTCCGCCAGACACGCAGAAGAATGCCGCCAGTTAGCTCGTCGCTTTACCTGCGATGACCAAAACAGGCAAAAGGCAATTCGTGATTCCCAGACCTCAACTCCCGTTTTTCTTCCGGGTTCTCTTGTATAGCTGTCAGTGCCGCATCGCACACCTGGGCTCTCTTCCAAACTTCTGCCAAAGTACGATGGGCCATATCGTATTGTCGAACAAACTTCGCGAGTAAACTACCTCATTGAGCTGCTTACTCCACCATCGGACTTGCGACGTCGCAACCGCGAAGTTGTACACGTACAGAGGCTCAAGCAATACCACGGTTCAACGCCGCCAGCACAGGACTAAGTCGCCAGGATGGCTCCTTTTTTTCTCCGTGGGGCCATTGTAAAGAAGCGGAAGTACTCCGGCGCAGAGGCAGCAGCATCGAGTGTGCAGCAGCGGCAGCAGAATCGTGTGTGCAGCAGCGGCTCGAGCTCGGAAATTGCGGCTGGTGCATCGCCTTCCAAGCCTTCCAAGCACCAACCTTTCTGCTTAATAAATCTCCTTTATAATATTTACTCATGGAATTTAAGTGTTTTCTTGAACTTTGCTAACTTTCTCTGTTAGGTGGCTTATTTGTCAGCTGTAGTAAAAGTCTTCTGCCACCTTACTATAGATGTTGAGACCGCTGATTATGTTTCCCAATCTGTTGGAGTGCGCATTCGTAATTAGTTTCCTGTTGTCATGCTCTGTCCTTTCTTCGAATTCTTCATCTAATTCTTTGGTGCTATAAAACCCCATGTCGGCAATTTTCTTTTTGTTAATCAGCCCTTTTAGCAGAGTTAATTCACCTTAGATCTTGAGTGGGTAGCCTTTGTAGATTGTTTTTTTTCTTTTTTTGTGATTTGTGAGAGTTTGCTCACTTCTTGCCCTAGTGCTTTAACCTCACTGCAGTTGCGTTTTAGGAATTAGTGTAGTTATGGTTTCGTTCATTTTCTCTACGTCATGACTTTTTTCTTGTTCTAAGGCCTCGCATACGAGTGTTCTAGGGCAGTGCTGAGAATGCGTGTGACTGTGGCTCTGCTCCATTTTCAGAGGAGCCTTGCAATTTCTCTGCAAGCTAAAATAATAATAATACTAATAATAATAATAATGGCATTTTTGGGTGCCTTGAAGTTCCGCAATCAAATTTCGTGGGCTTACTGATGATGATGACGACGGTATTCAAGCATGTGAAGAGATTGTTTTCGTAAAACATTTAAAATGACAGATGAAAAACGAAAACGTATTAAGCACAAATCGCCGGTCATCGCTGCTGTGTCTGAGGTGGTAGCTGCGTTGACTTTCGCTTGCAACAACTTAGGCTTACGTTGGCTCTGCATCTGTTTTCTGTGAGTAAAAGTGTCATGGCGGCTTCCGATTTTGTCGGTGAAGCAGCGCGAAGTTCAAGCTACGTGTTTATTTGCGGCAATCACTCTTCCTCGCGATAAATCTACTCTTCAGTGACGAAAGTGATGAACACAAATGTTCACAGGTTCATAGTGCACCTTGTGTGAAGAACGGGTAAGCTGTCAACCTGAAAAGCTGGTTACTGTATTTAAGGTTTAAGATTGTTGAAGATATGTCCTGCCACTATAAATCGCTGCACCATTGCTTCCAGTCATTTGCCATGCTTGCTTGATGCCTATTTAATGAAACGTTACGAGGTTGTCCTGTTTGTTTAGTAGGGTCGAGAGCCGGACTAGTTGGTGAAATATCATTTTAAAATATGGCGTAGTAGCGCAACTTCGTCGGGGACACAGAGGACAAGAAAAGCGAGTGTCGTGTTTTCTTGTACTCTGTGTCCCTCTCGAAGTTGTGCTACTACACCATGTTAAAATGTTGTCCTGTTTGTAGCAATATGTATATTTAATCATGTGGACAATGTTTGAACTAGTGCAGGTAAAACTAGATTTTATACTATGCATAAGTCACTTTTAGTGCTTTTAATTCTAACATAATCTTGAAGGTGTTTGCAGGTCTTAAATCTTAGATGACAACTAGGTATTATGTGTACAAAAAAAATACTGGTTTACTTTTGCATGCACTAACATGTCGGAGAACGTTTCCGAAGCGGCTCGTTGATAGTTAATGTCGGGTAGTACTTGTGAAAGATAATATTTAAGTTTGGAAGTGCGTTTCGGTATTTGGTTACAAAGACTAGCGGGTGGTTAGGCTGTGCTATGGGAAATGCTCAGCTAGTGATGATTTCCTCATTTTCAAGCTTCATTTTGGATTTTGTTCTGAGTGTTGTGCAGGTCATTTCGCCAAATGTCTCCTTTGGCTTGCTTAATTGATGAGCATAGTGATCGTTGTCGCAACAGACGCTACTTGAATGCTTTGCCTGTATGATGAATATTTCTTCTTTGCCGTGTCATAGATGATGGCTTGTGTAGTCAATGTATTATAGTGGGCTATTCGTTGGCATTGTGTAGAGCGTAGCCTTTCATTTCTCTGTAAACGAAAGAACTCCAAGACAGCGCCATTAGGATGCGCATCACAAGAATTCACCACTGAAGATTAAATTTCGCCAAACATGTTAGCAGGAAGAACAACGTTGTAAACCAAACCAAGATCTTTTTTTTCTTTTTGTCCAGTTCGACTGGGGGTGGAGTCCGCTTCTCCTGCACATCCTTCCTCCTCGAAATTTCACTTGGCTCTGTCCTGTTTATCTTTATTTTCTGATTGGCATTGCCTGCTATATGTTTATGGTGGGGGCAAAGGATTTGTATTTTTTTTCTACCTCGCATTAAAGAATGCTTCAATAGATACCGTCATATCTAGAAAGTTAATTTTGCTAAAAGGGTGGTGCATGGTAAATTTACTGCTAGGGTGAAACTTCTTACAATTGCCAATTAATGCAATTGCCATGAATGCATGTCAGAATGGAGGCTAGTAGCAGAGATATTGAATCTATTCTTCAAAATGATTCTATCTTTAATAATATCAGTGTTGCCTCAAGACCACTTATCAACTGAAAAATCAAAAAAACAACGTTTAAACCAAGAAAAATGCATGTGTTAATCTCTGTTTATGATAGAGTTGTAAAGAACAAGTGGAATAAATGTCATGTTTTGCCACGATTGAACCCATGTGGGTGAAACTGTGGAAGGAAACTCTGGAGGGATTTATAGGCCTCTGCTGCTGTAGTCTCGAGCAGTTTGGTTCCCTTCACTGCAGCAGTGCGACATGGGTGAAATCACGTTGTACAAGCTTCGTACCCCAACACCAGTTTGCTGTGCAGATTTGCACTTGATTCACAAGCTTCTTGTGTGTATTTTACAAAAGCATTACAAGGATACTGAAAAGAAACAGTGACCTTGTTTAGATCGACAAACTGCACTCTGAGTACTCTAATGCCAATGCCGTATGTTTCATTATCCCTAGTTCATTATTAGTGGAGAAAATTAAGGTTGAAGTCTCACTATTGAAAGTTGTGCCGAAATTCCATGCGTGACGTCAAAAGTTTTTAAATGTATTAATAACAATTTTGCGATTGGCTCGGTGATATTTTCTGAAACTTCATATGCTAGGTCTATGACACCCACAGATGACAATGTCCTTCACTTTTATCGATTATAGGCTATGTAGAACGCAGTAAATGCCATCAAAATTAATGATGTCATGGTGTTCAGACATTTTCTTTGCGTGGTTTCGCACTTGCCAAGCGTCGTTTCGTGGTAAGAGTGGTGATGTGAAATCATACTTCAATAGTATGCAACAAATTATTTCGCTCTTTAGTGTCCTTTCAACATGCAAAAAAAAAAAACTAATAAGAATGATGTAGAGTAGCTGACCAGCTCATTCACCTGGCTCAAAGAGAAATGAAAATCAGTGTATTTGTATTGTTAGGTGTATCACATCTCAATGCGTGTAATCCTTGGAGGATGGAGGGTAGGAAGCGTAACACAGAGGACAATTTATTGCAACAGACACCCATTACATGTACATTTTAACGAGCCCATGCACAGCTTTTCTCCAACAAGCAAAAAAAAAATTTGCAGTTTCACAAGTCTGCAGCACTGTGGTATCTTGTAAGGCAACGTTCATACGCCCGAGCAGAGCACTATGAAAATCTCTTTAAACAATTCAACTGTTGTGCGCTCCATTAAAAAAGATTTGCAGTCAAGATAACTGGGTCATTAGCGACTCACTGCAACAAAATAATAGACATGTCCAGTTTTTGTGGCGGTACTATCTTACCATTATTTACTAACTGAATTGGAACAACCAAAACAACCGCTAAACAAAGCACATTTTCTTTTGAAGGCATCTATTGGCAAACAAAATACTGATTTATGGCCGTTGAATAGGCGCTGATAAAAACAGAAGCAGGCACGCTTTCTTCAGTCGTAGGTGGATGGTACTGTAGCCAGTCGCCGCTGAGCGCAGTCCAGGTGTTCACGTTTTCCCTTTCATAAAGGACGAAAGCGTATAGCCATGCTGACTATGACTGGCAACGTGAGAAGTGTGTCCTCACAAGCTCAAAGGCTACACATGGCTGAAGATTGCCCTCATTTGCACAACTTGTTTGATGGACATGCGAGTTTCACCATGGTGAACTAAAACTTGAAACGTTGCAAACGTATTTGGTATGCTGTGTTTCTTCTCTTTGCATAGGGGTACAAGCTTCTAGGTTCTTAGTACTTTAAAGTGAAAGATGCACATTGGCCCAAGCACTACTTTTAACTTCATACTACTGTAAAATCCCGAGAAATCACCCCCTCGACGCAGAAAGATGATCTGGAAGGGGGGCTCTTGCTTGACCCGGACACTAATTCAATATAGAAGTGCCTTTAATAAAAATGCACACCCATGTTTCTAATGAAATGCTGTATTGACTATACACGCATTTACTGTTTTACAGACCCGATGACAATCCTTGTGAGAAATTTCAGGTGTTATGACAAGGCAAAAAGATGTTATAAAAATGCTCAGACAATTTGTGACAACTCAGAATGCATCTCCAAGGCATCACACTGTAAAAGTGTTAAAAAAAATCTTGCGCATATATAAGGGCTCTCAAAACTTTGGTTTCGAAGAACTGCTGCTGCAGAATTCTGTAGTGGAGAACAGGTTGAAAAATAATTGTGGAAGGGGAGAGGGCGCTTGCTCGGTCGTCGGCACATATTCGAGATCTCCTGTAAAGTAAAAACGGGTGCGTGCTCTGTATTTTACAGTGCCCACTCGCGATTGAAGTTGGAATGGAGGCACTAGCATGTGCTTTTTTCATAGCACTGCCAGGGCTGCACAAGAGGCCCATTGAATGTGACTACCCGTACAAACAAAGAACGCTTGCCACCAATTCTGCTGCTCTATCTGCGAGTGTTCTCTTCACAATATTTTAACTGTGCGATACTTTACAGTAAAAATGCACGCCTATATTCATATTTTTGTGTTTCAACCAATTTTGCTTAAATATCTGCAGTCTGAATAAAGTGGACACTCATTACAATTTCTTATGAGAGTTTATGCTTTGAATTGCAGCTCAAGTCATGCAGTGAAGTTCATGCATGCACAGCTTACTCACCGCCACCTTTATTTAGGACTGGAAAGATAGGCTGCTGCTTGTCACAGTTCAGTTCCATCGCTTCTCATGGAAAACAACAATATAATGACCCTGGAACACAGGAGGCAGGTTGCGCGTCTAAGATTTCTGTTTTTGCTTAATTCCCAACAATTCAATATTAATCCAGCACTTTATATTCAGCCCCGCTTATCTCGTTCAACTCGAAGCACCCATGAGCACAATCTAACTCCAATTTTTGCACGCACTAATCTTTTTAAGCACTCCTTCTTTCCCCGCACAATCGAGCAGTGGAATAGATTGCCTGTTGATGTGTTTTCGGCGCGTGATGTGTCGGATTTTGAAAAGCGTGTACTTTCTGCAATATTTTAAACATTCACTGTGCCGCTATATTTCTTTGTGTACTGCTATTTTTTTTCACACTTGTCGGACTGTTTTCAGAATTGTGTACCAATTTACCATGCGGATCGATGCTTTCTATGTAATTAATCCCTGCCCACCTGCTTGGTCTTCGGACTGCAGTATGTCTTAAATAAATAAATAAAAATAATCTTAAATGAATTGTACAGGAAAATAAAGGAGGAGGTCGGGTAATTTGTTATCTCTGTTACAGGTAGGTGTACTTGCTGCCAAGGACCTCAAAGGAGGATAAGTGACAGTGGTGGAAATGAATCTTCACTCCAGCCAAGTGCACAACAAGCTAAGTCAGGAACATTATTGAAATGAACCATAAGATAAGCATTTTAAAAACAGCTAATAAAGCATTTTCTTGGCTTCATCATCCAACATGTGGTCGTTTTCATAATTTCTTTATTTCTCCTGCATCAAAAACCTCAAGCTGAGCATTCTGTTGTTATTACTAGCACATATGTTTGCAGGTGCTTATTTTGCTGCAATCTTGGATAGGATATTTACTAAAAGTGCTCAATGGCAATAATGTTTATCTGCTCCCTCGTTTGGTTTTAAGATGCACTTTTTTCTAGATTTGCAGTTGTCTCTAATTGAAGAGAATTCATATTGATCTTTGAGGTATGTAGTAAATAACAAGCAACTTTTTTCAGGCAATGTTACCTTATGATTTTCGGTGATATGTGGGGCTTAACATCCCAAAACTACCATATGATTATGACAGACGCCTACCTTTACATTTTCTTGTCAGTGACTTTTATTGAACATTTCTATTTGTCCTGAAACATTATTTCTTTGACAGTATAGCTGCATGACTGCTGCAAAATTATATATAAGTAGTTTACCAAATGATGATGAAGAAATTTTGTTGATTTGCAAAAGGTGTGTGTATGGGCCAACTTGAACACATAACCAACTGTTTCAAACATCCTCCCATGCAGTAAATGTTCCCTGGTGCACTTGTTTTCTGGTTTGAACAAATGTGAAAAAAAAGAAACATGGCAATAGGGAAGGCCTTGAAAAATCACACTGCTAAATAATGCCATAAATTCTGTGATGATATACACAATCACATGAAAAAAAAACTGGGAGCGGAATTTCGCAAGCACTGTACATGTATGCTGGTTTAGAGAAGAATTAATAAAATTAAGTCCGATGGTTTTGTGTCACAAAACTAAAATCTGGTTATCAGATGCACTGTTTCAAGTTAAAGCATAATTATTTTGACCTCATAATCTCCCTGAGTGCATGGAACTAGGGCACTAGTACATACTACAACTATTATAATGAGACTCCTGATGTCCGGAATCAATCCTGTGATCTTGTGCAGAACTACACGCGGTGGCGGAGCCAGAAGAGGGTGCGCTAGAGGCCATCGCTTCCCACCACAAAGCCTGTCAGTATACCCTCCCCCTGTCTTCAGTGCTTGCCGTCCACCTGTTATCACCAATTAAGACAAATGAGTGGGATTCTTTTAAGCACACATTAATAGTATTTATGCTATGATGGAGCTTTTAAGCTAGTAAAAAAAGTAATGACCATGCCCCTCTCTCTGGTGTTACTTTAAGCAATCCCCTCCTCCTAAAATGATTGGCTGGATCGACCCCTGACTGTACGGTACCATTTCCCTTTACCTTAGGGTCAGATTAGAGATACAGACTTCCTTTTTTTTAATGCACTATTTTATGTTTAAATAAAGACAGCCGCATTTGCACTGATCATTTTTAAAGCTGTGTAGACCAAATAAGCATGTATATGCAACTGATGGTATAGCGTCCTATACAAACAAACAGTATTGCTCATATGCTCTACAGCAGAATGCTGAATAACGTCACTGCCTTGAACAAAGCTCAAAAAGAAACCTCTTCGTGGTGAATGGGAGATGTGACATATTAATCTCTTTTTTTGGCATCAAGCATCAAATACTATGCTAAGTCAGAGTGAAATATGACAAAGACAGGCAATAATAATACGACACTTCCGGTTTGTTCAAATGTCTGTAATAAAATACAGAGGCATGAAGAAGAGGATAAGTATGGTGCTACTACATGCACATACAACAAAGTGGAACCTCAATACTAATTACCTAAATTCAATTAGTTCTATGACTATGGAGATCATCAGCAATGCGTTTACTGAATGATGTTACCCTCTTCATGAGATACAATAAAACACCACATTTGAATTATACAAGTTGTCTGTTTACTAAGTTGAGGCATTTGTTATTAGATAATTTGTGATGTGTTTGACAATCTGTGCAAATGCATAGTAATTGAAACAGCACCTGTTAAATCAGAGCAAGAATACTCTATTCATTACAGTGAAGTTCAATATGTTATGACACCATCCTGACACGCTAAAGATAATCCGAATAGTTTGTGACAATCTTGACTTCAGAAGGATTTGAATTTCTAGACATTTAATGTTCAGGTATTACCAGTTTGTTATAAAATGATAGGAAAGAAGCTATATAAAGAGTAAAAATAGAGCTTAGTATAACATTGTTCGGAGGCCAGCAAAAGAGCTTAAGACCTAGAAAAACAGTTGACTTTCCTTGGTGTTAGCGAAGGACGTTAAAACTCTATTGCCAAAGACTAGCAAAAGCTTTTTTTAATCACAATCAAAAGAACCCTTGCCTTGATTTTTCTGCTAAGGAAGCATTTTCTTTTTGACAACCAAAGCCTCCTCAGGGGTTGTTATAGCATCTAAAGATCATAAGTACTTTTACCTTCTCAACTAACTCTAACCAGACAAACTCCCTAGTTGAAATGTATGGTTGCAAGAGTTAAATCAAATTTTTTTATTATGATTTTAATGGAGAGCAACGTAGGTTTGTTCTGCTCTGCTGTGAATGAGCCTGCAAACACAGAAACTTATGCAAGTACAAAAGATCTGTACATGATGACAGACTCCCTATAGTGTTGTGATCAAGTGCTCCCAGCTTTTATTTAACTGCAAATAACTTGCTTGAAGTGCCACAGCTGTTGTTTCGCACCTATTGACCACATATTTTAGACAAATACTATTACACTGTGCTATAGCCGGTAGACAAGGAGTACCATCTGAGTGCTTTTTAAAAACTAATGAACCAGCTGTTTTCGATCATTTGAGCATGTTTTTACAACCAAAAGTTTACACAGACATTTGTTGCAACAATTGAATTTATTATGCATTAAATATGCCAAGCACTGGTCTTTGAGTTGCAGTGAAAATTGCAATATGGTAGTGCATGATCAAAATGTTGAGGCCCTCCACTGCCCTGGTCCTTTTATTATAGTATGAGATGTGATCTTTTATTAAATAATTTGCATTATGAAGTGCGAAAAAGCAACAAGACCATAACTGATATTTTTCCCAAAATAAATTACTGCTAGATCATGAAAAGAAGATGCACCGACCGAAATACGCCGTGCTTAAATGCAATGTGGAATGTACCATAATGTTCATGTTATCGTGTGCCATAAACATATCAAACAACACCTTCACATACAATCAACACCTATATATAGCCTTCATAGAGTACGAGAAGGTGTTTGACTCTGTCAAGACATCAGCAGTAATGCAGGCACTACTGAATCAGGGCATCGAAGAATGCTACATAAACATACTGAAAGAAATCCACAGTGGATGCACAGCCACCATAAAGAAAGCAGCATAATTCCAATAAAGAAGGGTGTAAGGAGAAGAGATACAATCTATCCAGTGCTATTCATCTCGTGTTTACAGGATGTTTTCAGGACCCTAGCTTGGGAAGAGTTAGGAATAAGAGCTAATGGAAAGTATCTTAGTAACCCGCGATTCCCTGATGATATTGCCTCGATGAGTAACTTAGGAGATGAATTACAGCTCACAATTACAGAACTGAACATGGAAAGCAGAAAAGTAGGTCTGAAAATGAATGTCCACAAAACTAAAGTAATGTGCTACAGTCTCGGCAGAAAACAGCACTTTGCGATAGGTGGAGAGACGCTGGAAGTTGTAAAGGAATATGTCTACTTAGGACAGGTAGGAGCCGCGAAGCCGGACCATGAGAGTGAAGTAACTAGAAGATTAAAGATGGGGTTGATCACATTCAGCAAGCATTCTCTAATCATGAATGGTAATCTGCCACTAACCCTCAAGAGGAAGGTTTATAACAACTGCATCTTGCCAGAATTTCCTACGGAGCAGAAACCTGGAGGCTTACAAAGAGGGTTGGGCTTAAATTGAGGATGACCCAGTGAACGAAGGAAAGGAAAATGATAGGTGTAACTTTAAAAGACAAGAAGAGAGCAGAGTGGGTCAGCGAACAAACCAGGGTTCAGGATATCATAGTTGTAATCAAGAAGAAAGGGAGACAGAAAGTTAGGTGGGTCCATGAGATTAAAAAGTTTGCAGGTATAACATGGCAACGAAAAGCACAAGACCAGGTTGATTGGCAGATCACGGGAGATGTCTTTGCCCTGCAGTGGGCGTAGTGAGGCTGATGATGATGACAACTTCAATGTACGACGAGGTTTAGATTTAGGTGTCAGGCAAAAAATGAGCATGCCAAAGTAGCGCTGAAGGCAAAGCACTCGGTTTTTATGCAGATCGCAATTGACAGGTGACCACTTGACACACCAATTATACAATATATGTATTATGCGGTGGCCCTCTGTGGCTCATGTCTGCAGAACCCTAACAACCAAATTTGCCAAAAGCGTGACCAATAAGCTTGTTTGCAAGACCGAACATGTACATGGGCTTCTTTGCAGACGTTTTATATTTTCTAGAGACTTGCCAAACCATGATGCACCGTTTCTGCGTAATTTTGATGTAATTAGTAGACTGCTCTTTTCTTGCATTGTCATGAAAGCAGCAGCCAAAGAAGTAGAGGCCACGAAAGTGTGCAGAACTGAACGGTTTAACTTGGTATAAACATTCACGTGTGATCACCGACAGGGGTTATCGCAGTCACAGCTTTTTTTTCTCTATGCTACTTGAACTACACGTGCGAGTAGTAGAAATAGTGCGATATTCATACCACCGGCGTCACACAGACACTTGAGATCGCGGTCAGGGCATCTGCGCCAAAGTCGATGCTGTACAGCGCAGCAGCGAGAAAGTTGTTGCGCGCGATCAAAATTTCTCGAGGAAAACCGGTATTAGTCATCGCTACACGGTCCGGATCAAATACAGTGCAGCGCGACTACATGCAGCAAGTACACATGTCACAGCGTTCACTAAAGCGCGTCAGAGCGCACGGTGCATTCAGAACTAACGTGCACACAGAACAGTCAGCACTCAAGCATCACCATATTCGCAAAGAATAATATCGCAATAATACAAACCGCCGCACAACACCGAAATAGAGGAAGCGCTGACACACACATAACACAGCCAGCGGTGCCTTTACATACCCGCACCTCTACAGCCAGCGCGGGGCGCACCGCTAGAGATTAAAGTGCCTAGGGATGTTCGCGCAATTTGGCACCTAGGCCGCGCACGGTCGTGAGGAAAGCACCTAGTGGGATGCTACTCTTATTAGTTCGCGCCGAGGCTCCTGTGGCGCTGGTGACTGCAGCGCCACGGCGAGCAGAGAGGGAGGGAGCCCAGTGGCTGGAGAAGTACATAAAAAAGATAGAAAGGCAGCTGCGAAATTTTGGAACCATGTACACTTTCTAAGAAATGAGACGAGCGTAGAGCGAAGGTTTATAACTACAGCTCAAGGTGCTAGGCTAGAAGGGGACGAAGCTATTGAATATATACGAACAAGGGTGACAGAAAAATTTCAACATAGAAGTGCTTTATGCACCACAATAGACAGGGATGGATCAAGTGGCACAATGGCTCCATTTTCATGAGAGTGGGAAAGGGCTGAGAAGAGGGTTCCAAGTAGTACATCAACAGGCCCAGATGGCATTCCAATTATGCTGATAAAACGTTGGGTCCGAAGTCTAAACAGACTATGAGAGAGGCGGTGAGCAGAACTATAACCGATGGAGAAGTTCCCGATGGATGGAAACTTAGCAGGATGAGAATGATTTATAAAGGAAACGGGAACAAAGCTGACATAAACAACTACCGTCCTATAACAGTGACATCAGTGGTCTACAGGCTGGCGATGCAGATTATAAAGGAAAGACTGCAGGCATGGATAGAGGATGATGGGGTGCAGGGGGAACTGCAGAATGGGTTTCGGAAACACAGGAGGTTGGAAGACAATCTGTTTTCACTGACGCAGTGCATCGAAATAGCAGAAAAGGAACACAGGCCCCTGTGGCTAGCATTCTTGGATATCAAGGGAGCGTACGATAGCGTGGTTCAAGAGGAATTGTGGGGAATACTGGACACACTGGGCGTGGAACATGTAGTCACTAATCTTTTAAAGGGTATCTATAAAGGTAACAAGGTAGTTATAAAGTGGGAAAAACAGGTATCCAAGCCTGCAGAGGTAAAACGGGGGCTTAGGCAGGGGTGCCCCCTGTCACCCTTATTATTCATGATGTACCTACAAGGATTAGAGGCAAAATTAGAGGGAAGTGGGCTGGGCTTCAACCTCTCTTTATTCAAACAAGGAAAACTCATTGATCAGGCACTACCAACATTAATGTACGCAGGTGATATGGTGCTAATAGCCAACAACAAGGAAGATTTGCAGAGATTGATGGATATCTGCGGTAATGAGGGAGATAGGTTAGATTTTAGATTCAGTAAGGAAAAATCAGCAGTCATGATTTTCAATGACAACGAAGGTAGTGAGCTTAGGATACAGGACGTCACGCTAGAGATAACAGATAAATACAAATATCTGGGCGTATGGATAAGCAATGGGACCGAGTACCTGAGGGAACACAAAATATACGTGACGACTAAAGGTAACAGGAATACAGCAGTGATAAAAAATAGGGCACTGTGGAATTACAATAGGTATGATGTTGTGAGAGGAATATGGAAAGGGGTCATGGTTCCTGGGCTGACGTTCGGCAATGCGGTCTTGTGCATGAGATCAGAAGTTCAAGCAAGATTAGAAATTAAGCAACGTGGAATAGGTAGGCTTGCTTTAGGAGCTCACGGGAATACACCAAATCAGGGAGTACAAGGTGATATGGGATTGACATCATTTGAGGGCAGGGAAGCTAGCAGCAAGATAAAATTTGAGAAGCGATTGAGAGAAATGAAGGAGGAGCGTTGGGCTAGGAAGGTTTTCAGCTACTTGTACATGAAGAATGTCGATACAAAATGGAGGAAGCGAACCAGGAAGTTGACTGGTAAATACTTAGAAAACAGCAGGTGGCCAAACCAAATAAAACTATCGGTTAAGAAGAAAGTGAAGGAAACGGAGACTGACATGTGGAAAATGGGCGTGATTAAGAAGTTCGCACTAGAGATCTATCGAACTTTTAAGCAGGAAATTGCCAAGGAAAGGATCTATGATAATACTCGGGGTAGTTCTCTACTGTTTGAGGCAAGGACGGGAGTACTGCGAACCAAGACATATCGGGCCAAATACGAAGGGGTAGACACTGTATGCAGTGCGTGTGGAGAGGAAGAAGAAACTGCGGAACACTTGATAATGTTCTGTAAAGGGCTTCACCCTATAGTTCAGGACGATGGCGCAGAGTTTTTCAAAGCACTGGGGTTTAGGGACCGGGAGGGCAAAATAGACTTTAAGCAAGTAGACTTAACTAGAAGAAGGTTATCTGATTGCTGGCTAAAGTCAAGGCACGAGTGAAAATTATACTCTTCACTGAAAAGTACGAATCCTCAAACTCACGTTTTAAGGAAAAAATAAATAAATATAGTTTTGAGTTCATTAGGTATTACGGCTTGGTGGCGCTAGCCACCGCCCGATCTAAAGGGTACAGCTAGAGGTGTGCGCCGACTGGTCGGCGCGCCGCCGCCGATAGTTTTTGTCACGCCGCCGCCGCCGACGCGAACTGATCGGCGCGCCGCCGCCGCCGCCGCCGACGTTTTTCATCGGCGCAATCGGTGCGCCATTTATGCGCCAGTACTGACTTTTCACAGATTTGTCTTCTTTTTCATCTTGATTTATAGCTACGTTTCACATTTTATGTAGCCAGTAAAACCAGGCTTCTTAGTTATCTTCATCCAGCTTTAGAGACCGAGAGTACCACTTTGATCAGCGGAACGAGTTCGGCGGCCGCTGCATGAAATAACATATTAGACAAATTGACAAAAAATAAATGTAACAGTTACAGTAAAGCATAGACACGGCCATCTTGGGCTTAAAAGCAATTTTTGCTGTTTTTTGTGTCGTAATTAGCCATGATTATGGTGAGACGACGTTGAATGTAATGGCCCAGCGTTTTGATGCGTGCGAGTTCGCCATAGCACAATTCGAATATTCATACGGATGGAAAACAGCATCATTATCAGTCCAAGATGGCAGCCTATAATTGTGCCCGAAACAGGGCGTATGTAAAGAAGAAATGAAGTGGTAGCAGTGCAGTACGAATGCAGCGCGTTATATGAAGGGAGGAGGAGGAATAAATGAGGAAGGACAGGGAGGTTAGGCGTTAGATGAAGAACTACACAAAACCCCGATGGATGAAATCGAAAGGGAGAAGTTTAATGAAGATTAAAAGCGTCGAGGCATAATACATGCTCGAAGCTAGTCAGGGTATATCAGCACCTGTCCGCGATGTTAAAGTTGATAATTTTCGAGGATGACCACTTATATGCAGTGTCTGAACATGCCGCAGAAAATATTCACTATCTGTTTTATTCTTTAACTTATCTGTTTGTACCAGCCTTTTAAGACATTGGATACCCGGGATGAATATGCCAAGGCAGTAAGATGGCAAGAAAGAGAAAGGAAGGCTGAGATATTAACCATATCTTGGAATCCGGTTTGCTGCCTAGCACTGAGGTTTGAGAAATACGGGCAAGAAAGGGCGTGTAGAGAGACAGAAAAGAAAACGCATGTGCACTCAGGAGTAAGATGGCAAACTTAACAGAGGATTTATTACATTCTGTACAGACAGGGCGAGAGGTCTCTTGCGAATGAGCTGGGTGGCTCACTATAAAGTGTACGTTTTGACTAAATCAGGGAATGGGTCCAGAATGCGCTGTTGAATCACGAGACACACACACCATTTCTGACGGTGCCGCTCACACTCGCTCAAGTGAAGGTCTTTGATTGGGGTGTGGCCACCACACTGCACCTGTGACACCAAGAAACCATTGTGGTCGTCTCATCGAACGTCTTATGGTGTCGGAATGCCACCCCACTTCCTGGCTAAGAGGGACAATATACGGCGGACAGCAGGCTGGCAGCCCTTCGGTGACTTCTTTGATGAACAAAGAACGCGGCCCTCCCCCGTCGGTCCAGGCGCCGCGCGTAACAACGGCTATCCAGTGGTGAGAAGAGGCGTAATAAGCTTGTCTGAGACCACCAGTTTTAAAAAGAACAAAACAAAATTTAAAAAAAAAACTTGCCAGTAGACAATTTACAAAAGACGGCTGGATTCATCAAAAATGCAGAGACCGACATTTGAGCGACATGTCATATATGACATAGTTCAGCAAACTGGTTTTCATCACGTAACTTGAACGGACCTACTGGCACTGGGAGAGGTTAAGAATGATTGTCTCTGACAGATGTACTTCTGTTGCGAAGTTAATGCTCAGAGTCAACCAAATAAAAACTTAACATTATATTCAAGTCTTGATAAAAAAATAAGTCAAGTTAGAAAGCTCCTCAGGTGTCCAAATAATAATTTACTTCACCATACTTTATGAAGAAGTAATTTGCAAATAAATTATGCAACCGCTGTTTAATTGACATTCGATGATGTGGCCGCAATCAACGGTGTGTCGTCGCTATAAAACTGGAAAGTTATATGTGGACACGATCGGGCGAATCCGGCGGAGAACGAATATGTCACGTAATAAAAGCGATGTGATGTTGCACATTCTCATCTTTACAACTCCGTGCCCTTTTGCTTGCTCGTGATGTGTTCGAAGGAGCTAGCCAAGTCTCAGGTAGAAGTCAAGCAGAGTAGCCGGGGCTGATAAGAGCAACGTTTATGTTCACTATTTACACGCTAAATGTAGCATCATGGAAGCTTGATGAGAGCTTCTGAGAGCTGGTTCAGAGCGTCTCGGTGCTCGCGTTTTAAGGCGTGGTCTTCCTAGAATTCTCTGCAGGAGAAAACAATAGACAGCTTGCAATAATCTGCAAGGCAGCTTTTCTGTAAGGTTAGTTTTCCAACCATAAACTCTCGTTCACAGACTGCTTTTCTCGCTCATTTTGTTTTTGCCATTCACCTTTTTGAGATCTTGTTGTGCTCGCGTGCCTTTGCTGGAATTTGGAGAGGTGACATTCTGTTGTACTCGCGTGCTCACCTGCATTCGCTGGAATTTTAAGAGGTAAACACACAATGAGGGAGAAAAGCAGTCTGTGA